GTAAGTCCCGCTCACCGCAGTGGACAGCGATCACTGGCAATACTCTGCTTCTGCAGAACAAGAAAAAAAAGAAACAATGCAAAACGCAGCTGATGTGCAACTTAAAAAAAAGTTCAGAATTTTCGTCTTAAATTCCAGCAAATCAGTGGGTTCGAAATGAACCGAAATTTATCTAAAATCATTGAAGACGCCCAAAAGGCGGGCCTGTGCGATCATGCGCACTGCAGTGTTTCGTGCTGCAGTAAGATCGCTCTAAAACCAAGCAGCTAGAATTTGTGATATACTAGTCCTTGAAGTCCGGGAAGTTAATTGTGCAATTACCTGATATTAGGACAAGGAACATCCCGCTGAAATTCAACTTTCCAACTTTTCCGGTTCCTCTGTTAGCAATGTTCCTGCCAAAAATTTCACGGGGCGTACGTACCCTGGGGGCTGAGTTTGAAATCTTTAAGTTGTACATAGGCTGGGAACAGCCCTTTAAAATTTTAGTTTCCCAGCTTTAGCCACTTTTCCGCCCAAAATTTCCACGGGTCGTACATGAGAACCACGCAAACTGAGGGGCTGAATTTGATAATTTTAAATTGTACATAGTCTGGGAACACCCGCTTAGAATTTCAGCCACCCAGCTTTCCTAGTTCCTAAGTTAGCGATTTTCCCGCTGCGTGTGGCCCACGCACGCCAAGGAGCTGAATTTGAAATCTTTGAGTTTTATTGGACGGGAACATAACCTCAACATTTCAGCTTTCTAGCTTTTCTGGTTTCCGAATTAGCAATTTTCCTGTCAAAAATTTCACACCCTCGTACGCGAGGCTCAGACTTGCGTGAGGGTTGATACCGCGGTCCTGGAGTGACACCTGGCCCGGAAATCCACTGGCAAAATTTTGGCACCGAAGCCTGCTTGGCTGCCAAGTTGAAATACCCGGTAAGACGGATACACACACACACGCACACACACACACGCACACACACGCATACACACACACACACACACACCGAGGTCATCACAATATGCGTTTTTGCATTTGCATATAAGCAAAAACGCATAACTAGTCAAATTAAAACAACTCGTGTTGAAGTGTATGCTGTTTATTAAAAATTTAAATACGAAAGAGTGGAAGTGTGATGCAGTGTGGGAGCCGAGAGGGAACGAAAATAGAAGACACTGAAGCTACGATCATGTGGAGAGAGAGAAATATAAGTTTTAACTTTTATCAGACATAATTAAGCCAAAAGAAAAATTCTGTAGCAGAACTGCTTTGCAGCACTTTTTGCGATTAAAAACACTGGTAACCGTTCAAAAATTTTTTTACCTTAGTTTACCCCCACAGTCACAAAATCAAAATCCCCTCCGTATTTTGCTCTCAGTGAGAGACGAAAGCATTCGGAGAATAGCAAATGCCAGCAGTAATAACTCACTGGAAGGGCTGTTGAAGCCCCCTCTTTTGAGAGAATTGCTTATAAGCAGGCTGACGATGAGTTTGACTTCCTGGCATATACTGGTACCAATTTACCAACGAAACGAATCGTAGAAGGTCCATTTGCCCCACTTCGACCTACAGCACCACAGCAGTGCCACCCCACTGCGTCAAGTTTGCCGAGATTCTATAGTAGAACGGTGAGAGGGAGAACTGACAACAATAAAAAGGCGCATTCGAGAAGTATCACTAGTTACCTGCAAATGCTTCAGATCTCGCTGGAAAGCCTCGTCCGAGAAGTTGGCGGCCCTGTACTCGAGCTGTAGCTGCACCAAGTCCTTGTTGAATTTCGGGTCCGGGCCGCCCGCTCGCACTGCCCTCTTCATTTTGTGCATCAGCTGCTCCGCGGCCTTCGTTTTGCTGACCATTGCTGCAAGCTAACAATAGAAACGCAGTGACGAACGTGAGAATTCACGCAAAATTGAAAGCTGTGACATCGCAATGATGCGGGGCAGTCCGAGGTGCACTGGCATCGCCTGAACTATTCCTTCCCATTTGCCCCGTTCCCGGCCATGCAGGGGGCTAGTACTTTTGCCTCACTGGTGCCGTAATGGATCAATTTTCTGGAAGCAAGTGAAGTTTTCCACCGAGGTTGGTGCACACCCACCGAGACATACTTCACAAATCCAACGACCCCTTCGTTCAAGGGGCCTGAGTCAAATGCATAGTGCTTGAGAAACCTTGGTATCCTTGATGTTGTCCCACTTGGAGTGGCCCTTGAGCGCACGCGG